TGATCGATAATATTAATGAAATACTATGTGTAATAAACAAGAACTGATGGGATATTGGATTACTATTAGAAAACTCAGCTAGCAATAATTGCTTTGGTGCAACCATTCCAGACCTTATGGATATAGTGAATAGTACAAGTCAAGAGTTAAGATATAGAGATAAGGCAATACGAAGCGAATAGGCATATGCTTCGATACTCAGCACTGGTATGCTGCAGAGCAAGGCAAGAGAATTGATGAATATCAAAATGTACTAAGAATATATGGACAAGAAATCATGCTAGTACACATGAACAACAGCCTGCCAGAAGTGATATTTGGCAGAGAAATGGACAAACATGAGCACCTATTAGATCCACAAGCAAGTATACAACAAGAAGTATACCAAATGATATAGAGCATAAAGAGGTCTATGCTGTGGTAGTAGAGACACCATCAAATGAAATAGCTAATCAAATAGCACAAATACATGAAATCTCTAAACTAAGAGAATAGGCAGAAGATACATTTCAGGAAGAACCACTCCAAGAAGAGTGGTTCAAAAGAAAAGATCAAAAATTAAAAGAACACAAAAATCAATATGAAGGACCAGAATTATCAGGAATAACAATTCCATTGGAAATGGAATTTGATGACCCAGAAGTAACATTACTCGTAGAACAAGTACAACGAATAACAGTTGCAGCAGAATATGAAGTGCCGCAAAATAAACAAGAAAAGAAACTGAATCAACTCTATCTGGAAGCCACACAAAGAGAAATAAATCAATTTAGAGAACAAGTAATAGGAAAAAATAGTACTAAAAAAGATAAGAAAGGAAAAACTAAAAGTTTAAATATTACTTTTAATCAGCAAGAAGGAAGCAAAGTCAAAACACCAAAAATGGGAACATTTATTAAGTCACAATTGTCACAATTAGATCGAATCTTACAAATAAAAAAGAAACAAAAAGATCCAAGAATTAGAACAGGATTAAGACAATTAAAACAACGATTAGAGAGTATGGAAACAAATTATAAATATGTTTCCCAATTAACAAGACAACAAACTGATGAACATATTCAAGAAATTGAAAGAGTCACAAACAGAAAAATATTGGAAGCAGAAACAGCTGAAGATAAAAAAGCTTATCTATACAAAACAATATCCATATTAACAGAAACAAAAGATGCTATTCTTTGGAAAAATAGAGACCTAGTAAAAGATCTAGAAGAAGAATATAGATATGCAACTAACCAAGCACTAAACTTGGATAGAAAAGATTTTGAAGCAATGCAAGAGTATGAACAATGAATCTTAATAGAAAGATTCACTAGACAAATGGAACAATATGAAAGTGAACTATTACGAGAACAATACCAAGCAAAATATAGAGAACTATTGGGAGTATCTTTAGAAAACTTAGATAAAATGCATGATGTAGAAGATGAAGAAGAGCAAATATTCCAAGAACAACAATGAGCCAGAAGACAAGGCTTAGAATTACCAGAAACATTACTACCAAAACATCCATATCATGAAGAATATTTACCAACAAT